GATCTGACGACACTCCCGGAGCATTGGACCTCCAATGAGTCTTCTAGGATGCCTTCTCGGACTTGGTTGACCACCACTTCAGAGTCACCTTCCACTATCACATGAGTCAAAGATCTTGAGGCAACGATGTTGATCGCATCTCGAACGGCTAGGAGCTATGTCACGTAGGGGTTGACAACTCCCTGATGATGCAAACCGGATGCTAGCACCACATGTCCGTCTGACCCACAAACAACAAGACCAGACGAACACCCTGACTCACAAATAGCTGCATCAAAGTTGACCTTTAAATAGTCGTCTGGCGGAGGAATCGAGGTGACAGGAGGAGGGTTTGGTAGGAGTGATCAGCAGTGTGGAGGAGGGGGGAGAAGATTGGAGACTTCAAGGACCTGGTTGTAGAATTTTCTGACTAGGGAACGGATATGAGGTTGGTAGAATTCAAAAGTTACTTTATTTATAGACTTTTAGATTCTCCAAAGTAAGTAGATGCACTGGAGAATGTGGAATGGGGAGGTCTTAGAGACCATGACATGTCACCACCATAGACTAAAGTTAATAGTCGGGGCGGAATCAATGAAGTTGTTCAATCCCACTAATGTCCACAACTTGGTGGCTAGGGGGCATTTGAAGAATAAGTGTTCAATGATCTCTCAATATCTCCAGCAAATATGGCATCGATTGAGGCAGTTAACTCCACGGGATTGTAGGGCCACTATTGCGGGGAGAATGACCTTGAGGCATTGCCATATGAAGAATTTAAACTTAGGCGGAACTTGGATATTCCAAGTCTTTTTCCAAATGGGAGGGTCGATAATATGAACTATCGATTTCCGACTTGAGGCCAGAGCCGATTCCAGAACTAGATGATAACCCGACTTGACTGTGTATTTTACATCTTTGGAGTAGTGCCATACTCTGGTATCCTATTGGTATAAAAGGAAGTGATTAGAGGATGAAAGAATTCAATGATGGGCGGATGAGTGCCTGAAATCCCCTAGCATTGGTCCAGAATCCAGATAGGCGAGTGTTTTGAATCAATGGGTTGATGATGGGGCTTTAACTGTATGTTTGAATTTATTTATGAAACAATTCTGCCAAAGTAAGGTTTGTTAGATAGGGAGGCTTTGATTTGGTGGACTAGGTAAAGCTCAAATTACGTTAGTAAAACGACTCTTTAGCACCTTAGTTATTGCCTTTCCGACGCAAGTCGTTGTTAGGCATACTCTCTTGTTACCGGATTGTAGTAACCAGTTTCTAAATTGTGTCTTGGTCGTGTTTTGGTTTGGATTTCCCCTTTTATCTCGCCTGTCTGTATGGCGGATGCAGAGGCTGCAAGAGGCTCTATTATTTGGAGCTTTAGATAGCTCTACCTCGTCATTTATTATACGATTTAAAATCCCAATTAAGGTGTTTCCTGCGCAAGCCATTTCAGGGTGTATTGTCGTGTAACCGATAGAAGGAATAATGACATTAATTCCATTAAAACTTGTTTTGAATGTGATTTGCAGGTGGTGGTGGTCATAGGGGAGGTTGGATGGGTTTCGATGATCCTCCAGTGAGAATGCAAGGATTCTTCGTTGTCTTCAACACCAACAACTTGTTCCCGGAAGAAACCGAGAAATCGCCTTCTTCTTCAACCAGCAACAACAACGGCAACGACTTGCACATTCTTTAATATGTTGGTGATGGATGATGATACCAGAGAAGAGGAAAGAGATGAAGTGGCGCCGCCGTTGGGAGATCTGTGTTCCCGACTGTTGTCTAGGTAGCAGTAACGCCGACCAGAAAGCCAGAAACTGATGGCCAAAACCTCCCCTCCTCTCTTCCCTCCTCAAATGGTTGACGACTTTAAAGTTTCGCCGCCATTTTTTTCATTCTCGCCAATCTCCATAGACCTCACAAAACTACGACGGTTGTCTAAGTCTTGTTAGTCGTCCTCATTGATTCCGAAGCAAAACCCACAGGCAAGCTTAGAGTTGAAGACCAGGAAGAACATCGGTTGTTGGATCTGTACCAAAACGCGACAAACAAAGTAATCGGCACCAGATATGTACCAAAAAGTGACGGCGATCGAGTGGACATAAGAAGACGACGGCGGCTAACAAAAATCCTTCCATCCCTGGCGATTCCAAGATGGGCGACTGCAAATTTTTAGTTCAGCAGCTCACATGTGTTGCACGATAATCTCACTGACTGAGCACTCTGTAGTAGCGACTTCTCTAAAAAATGAGCATTTGACCATTTTGTGTCTCACAAGGATTACAATCCTCTATTCCCGATTGGATTTGGTCTCACAACTCGATGGATCATCCACCATTTGAAATTATTTTAGTTCATAAACCACCATTAGAAATTATTTTTCTTTTAGTAGGTGAACTGAATCTAGATAATTAGAATAGATGTTAAGATTTTACTAGGTAAACTGAAATTAGAATTAAATATGAAAGTGATGAATAAGTTTTTGGCACTATAGGGTGGTGATCGAATTTATTAAATTCGATGTACAGCCCGTTTGGTAAATTGGAATCCACTTTATGAATCGTACCTCAGTGATGCAGTTTGATTAGTATTAGACCATTGGTCCCTATACCGTTGATCCATGTTTGATCACTACGCTCATTAAACATTGGCGACCCGAGACATCGACTTTTCACTTGTTGTTTGTCAAGTCTACGATTACTTTAGAGGATATTGCGACACTTGCCCCTAGGTCCTGCTTCAGGATGTTGTGGCCTCGTCAGTGTTCTTCACGTTTTGTATCAAACTTGGAGAAATCTAAATAATAAATAATAGGGGGCTATTTTGGCCGAAAATTGACTTAAAAGACACTTTGAGCAACTTTCAAATAATACAGTTATGACCAACTTTTAAATGAAAGGGACAGATTTGGCTCATTTTCTGAACTCACCATCAAAATTGGGGTCAACTATTTTTTTCGCCTGTGGCTCAGCATCCTATGTTATGTTGAAATGGGGTCCACGTCATTTGCTATTACTATTTACTTTTTTTTCCGAATAAGTAATTTTAATTAAAAAACAAAATTGAATAAGAAAAAGAGGTAAGGACCGTCCCCTTCTTTATCATCTTCTTCTCTCTCTCGTCTCCTCCCGGGATTCCCCAAACCTTGCCCGAGCATCCTCCGAACAAAATTAAGCGTAGGGGACATCAAGACCAAAATCGTACAAACTTAACAAGTCAATTTGATCATAATCGACTCAATTTTCCAGGCGAATATTAACAAAATCATCTGTGACGATCGTCCTAGATTGTAAAAAGAAAGAAGTACAACTTTATAGAATTGTATAGAATCAAAAGTTAGGGAGTGAATTAGATATTGGGCCAACAACTATAAGTAGCCCACTCATTCTATTGTAACCGTCATCTAATCTCTAACAATAGAATTCTTCAATTCTCTCTCTCTCTCCCTCTCTCTCCTCATCTCTCTCTATCTCTCTCTACTTTTTTCCCTTTCTCTCTGTTTATATTCCTTTCTCAGATGCCAAACACCTGCAGGACGATCAAGTCATGGAATCACAATTTGGTATCAGAGCTCTGACTTGGCACCATGACGATTGTCCATCAGCTTGATGATAGCCTCAATGCCTTCTCCACCCGTACTATTGAAGCTGAATCTGCTCTCAGCACGCAAATCACGACTTTGGAAGATCAAAATCAAGCTCAATCCAATCAATTGCAAGAACTTATGGCTCGATCTAGGGGCATACTCAACAATTCGCGACTATTACTACTCGCTTGGATGGAAATGTGGCAATTAGGATCCAAATCCAATCCAATCCATCCACCAAATTATCCACCTAATCCAATCAATTTAAATCCAATCTATTTTATCCAAATCCAATTGGATTGGTGGATTCATTGATCAATCCATGGATCCAAATGGCAAATTACGATTTGATACCTATATATATATATATTTTTTTACATTTTGGTACCGAAAATTTATATTTTTATACGAAAAATATCAGTGGAAATTTACATTTTGGTACCTGAAATTTTTCATTATGAAATTTTAGTACCAAAACTTTTCAAATTTTACATTTTGGTCCAAGCCTTGGATGTCATTTGGATTCATGGATCAATCCACCAATCCATTGGATCCAATCCATTTGATCCATGGATCCTCCAATCCACGAATCCACGAATCCGATCCAATTGCCACCTCTAGATGGAATGGAGGATCGTGATATGGCTCATTTTATGCAATTCGATTAGCTCCAACAGAATGTTCAAGAAATTCTTCATCGGTTGGACGTCGTGCAACATCATCTAGATTTGTTGGTCGTCGGTGAGGGGAATTAACAAGTCGCTCGCAATGACGATCGAGGACTGTTGCCTCTTCATCATCAGCGGAATCTCATCGCTGAACCTAAGAATCAACTGCCTCGAGGTCATGCTTCGGAAAATCTGGAGGCTGAGCAAGGACAATTTAACACTCCTCGAGGTAACAATCGAACTAATTGCCTCGCCTGGACTTTCCTGTGTTCAGTGGAGATAACCCTAGGGATTGGACTCGGAAATGTGAGAAACTATTCGACATTAGGTGGCTCCTAACTATCAACTATATCGTTTGAAGGATGGAAGTTTGGGAACCATGAATGGATTTGGGAAGATTTTTTGTGGATTTGTGTCATCGCTTTTGGTGATTGTGAGTATAGGGGTATTGTGGGGGAATTTAACAAGCTTCGTCAAAGAGGTTCCTTGATAGATTACTAGAAGAAATTTAGGAAATAAGTCCCAAATGGTTCGTTACAATCCTGCGTTAGGCGAGTAGTATTTCATCTTGAGTATCTTGAGTTTTGCGAGTGGGTTAGAGAAAGAACTAAGGCAAGTGATCAAGATGTGACAGCCTCGAACCCTTTTCCACACATTTCAGTTAGCCCAACGAGAAGAGGCTTCCAACGAAGCTCCGAGGAAGAATTGGTGGATTAATTGGCGAAATGATCCATCGCCCGGATGGGAATGAAGTTCAGTTCAAGTTCTCCAAATTATGAACTATCTCAAATGGACCGAAGTCATTCGCTTCAAAATTGCCAAGGATAAACAATTGCTACAACATATATCAATCTAACCACAAGGCATCAATTCACAAAGAAATAGAATTTTCTGAAATCTAGATATTGTCAAAAACAAACCATCCTCCGAAAGAACCAAATTTCAGTTACAGTAGATTGTTTCAACCAAACACTCGGTCAGAATAGAATTGACCACACAGCAAGGCAAAAAAGTTGAGGTGAGCAATGTCAGACGCACTCGGTAAAATTCTAGGGCATAAATGACCATCACGAGTTGCGGACCGGAACGAGCTTTCCTCCAAAGGCTCCTCAAAAGCAGATCGACTCTACAGTGAGTTAAAGAGCAGCATATTTTTCAGTCGGGGAGAATCTGCTCGCCATCAGCATCAGCTTCAGTCTCCACCTGTGGCTTGGATGGACCAGCCCCAGGGGCTTGTTTCTTCTTGATTCCACTAACAATGTCATCAATCCTCAAAAGCATGCAAGCTGCTTCTATCGCTGTCTTGAATGTTTGTGCCTTCACGTTGTAAGCATCCCATATCTGATACAACCACAAAATTATCAGATTTATCAAACTTAACACTTAAATATGTGTACTTGTAAATGCTCATTTGGCGAACAGGGAAGTCTTGATCTCTTTAAAAAGGAAGTTTCAGGGATAGCCTCCTATAATAAAATTTCCAGCCCAAATTTGAGATCTATAGGTATGCATGCTATTAAAAAGTGATATAACCAATTGGCCAAAGGCAACTTGACAATCCGAAGGAAAGAGGTCTCCCAATGTAAAAGATTCCAGAAAGACACGAGGAATATGAACCCGATACATACCTTCCTCTCTTTCATGTCAGTGATTTCGCCAGTGTTCCCATCAATACCGATCCATGCATTCTCTCCATTTGCATGCTGAATTAGAAGTGGTGAAGCACAATTAACAGAACATTCATTGATATATACATACGAGATACAACACTAAATGCACAGAATGGAACAGGAGCTTACTAGCCCTTGCAACTCGGTCATTTTTCGGATCACGTTAACACCACAATTTTGGGCCAAAGTTCGTGGGATTGCCTCAAAAGCTATGGCTGCTGCTTCATAAGGCCACTGTGGTACAAACATCAAAAGGTCAGAAGATACCGTTATCTCTGAATCTATTGCAAAAGTTTCACGTCATCACATCACAGTTCCAAGCACCTTTTCAATGCCTTCAACAGAAGAACTCTTCTGCTTTAGTGTAGCAGATACAGTTAACTCGGTAGCACCACCTCCAGGAACAAGTTTTGGGTTCTTAAGTATGTTTCTGGCGACAGCCATAGCATCCTGTATCATGAAATGAAAATTCCTCAGAAAGAAAAAATCACGTTGAGCACATTAGAAGTAACTAAAAAACAAACAAGTCTCAATAATTACCTGCAAGTTCCTTTCCACCTCATTGAGGAGATCCTTGCTAGCACCTCTCAAAAGAACCGTACATGCCTTTGGGTCCTGGCAGTCAACAATGAAGGAGAAGAACTCATCTCCAATTTTCTTAACCTCAAACAGCCCAGCTGCTGTACCAACATCAGATTCTTGCAACTCATCGGGTCTATTCACAATAACAGCCCCACATGCCTTTGCAATTCTGTTGTTGTCTGTCTTCCTCAACCTTCTGATTGCACTAACACCAGCCTTGCTCAGATAGTGGGTTGCCAAATCACTAAGACCCTTCTCGGTGATCACCAAGTCTGGTTTAAATTTTAGAATCTGGGTGCAGATATTTTCAATGTACTCCTCTTCCATTTTCAGCAGAAGTTCCCAGTCCTCTTCTTTAACCAGTTCAGCATTTGTCTGGTTCTCACCTTTCTTGTACTCCAGTGGACAATCAAGAAGAATGATACGTGGCTTAACAATCTTTCTCCTCATTTTCCCAGGGGCCACCACATCCTTATTAAACATAACACCTTTAAGAACTCTGGATTCCTCCAACTGGCTGCCAGGAACCTTCTCAACCTTGATATACTTCTTGATATCCACTTCCCGCATACCATGGCCAAGGTCAACACCAACAGTCGTGGTAGCATCAATTGCAAGATCCTTGAAATATCAAGTTATTTAAATATAATTAACGAAGAGTATAGAAGATCCCATTCGAAGCTGAAAATTTGAAAATGAAGTATCACCACGTACATTATTTATCAAAGTTGGAGATCCACAACACATAATCCCATAAAAAGAAAATTGTATGAACGTGTATACCCATGTTATAACAAATTTCTGGATCCCATAGAAATTAGGCTTTTGAGCAACTTACAGCAATCAAATCTCCGAACTGACTAGTGAATTTCGTGCCAATACAGCTCTTCACTAGGCTCAACATTGTTCCACCTGTCACACATTCACAAGTCAGTTAATCAGAGACACATCCAATAATATATCACTGATTTCCCTTCTTTAATTAATATTTTAATATTTTCTTTGCCATTATAAAATTTAATGTATCACATAATTCTCTCCAACAATATATACTTCACATTCTGCATACTGTTCAAAGACATATGGCAAAACATCACTCTGTGTTTATGTGCAATAGAGCTGAGCTACATAGAACTAAAGGTGAAGCTTTCAAACAGAACATAATGTAAAAAAAGAGTGTCCAGAAAGAACAAATTGCAACAGGCAGCCAATCAATATGACCACAGGCACACGTTGATAATGTACCATCCCAAGGAAATTCTGGAATAAGAGATTAATAAATCAATCCTAAAGCAACTTACGGTCATTCACATCAATCGTCATAGCAATTTTATCCAGCACAGCAACAGCATCCTCCAGAGCTTTGTTGTATGCTGTGAGAAATCATAAATAGATAATAAAAAAAGGAATTCTCAGCCAACTACTCGCATGTGAAAGAAGCCACCTCACGTCCTTTAACTTACCTCGACATATGACAGTAGGATGATATCTTTTGTCAATGAAAGCTTCTGCAACATGTAGCATCTCCCCAGCTACAAAATGCAATTTATAAAAGAATATTCACATGAATACTACTTATGCATTTCACCAATATCAGAGGAATTGTAAACCCTACCAAGAACGATAACAGATGTTGTTCCATCTCCCACTTCTTCATCTTGTGTACGGCTTAGCTCAATCATTGACTGTCAACAGTCAACGACGTGGAGTCAGTACACAATTAGCCAGATAATGTATATCAACCTAGGAAAATGCTCGGGGGAATCATGGCGGGTACTATAGAAGTTGATAGTTTACAACTTAAAATCACAACATACTGTAAAGAAATGACATTGCAAATGATTGTTACAAGGAGCAAGGCAGACACTAAGTTAGGAACAATGACTGTAAATGCATCTTTATGCATTCAGTCTTTGCAAGTGCATGAACTAATATCACCACTATGCATAAATTGACGTGAGGAGTCAAAATGCATTTGTACCTTTGCTGCTGGATGAGCAATATCTAACTCACGCAAAATTGCGTTTCCGTCATTAGTAACAACGATTCCTGTCAGAAAAGAAAAACATCAGCATACTGCAGCAAAAAAAATCACTAACTCCATAAAATAAAAGGGAGGATATTATGAGCTGTACAAATAGGAAAAAGAAAAGGATAAAGTTAATTCATTATATCTTACAGTGAGTCTAACTACAAGAGATGCATATAAACACGAACTAAATCTTTTACACTTGAAGGAGGGGACCAGAGGGGTGATGAGGCAGGCGTATAAGGAGGAAAACAGAAGTAAAAAATGTGCTTTGCGAATGCGCATAAGAACCTCAAAGGAGCAGGCAGCTCACCTCCAGAAGCGTCAAGCAGCATCTTCAACATAGATCGAGGACCCAAAGTCGTGCGAATAATATCCGCAACAGCCTATAAAAATATTTTAGCTCAACATGTTACAAACCATACAGAAATATAGTTAGTAAAATAAACAAAACAAACAAGAAAACATAGAAACGGTAGAATAAAGCCATTATGATATCAGGTGCAAATTTTTAAAACTTCAAAACCAGGCAGAGTTGAATACAATGCCTCAGAACACGACTTTTCATCAACTAGTGAAGTACCACGTAAAGAACATTAATATCTCTTATAACATTGGCATCAGAAGAAAAGGCAATCGAGAACTAATGAGAGTCACACAGAAACCATTCGATGTAGCAATCTTGTATAGTTACCTTTGAGGCTTGGATATTAGCATGATGGACCTTCTGTCCAGACTCGCGTTTCAAGGAGTCCTCTGTTCAGATTAACCAAATCAAGCGATATGTTACTGCTCATAGAAAAGCCTCCAGAGAAGCAAAACGAACAAGGATAAATCTCCAAATGCCGCTCAAAGCAGTTGGGAAAGTTCTCAGATGGTAGAGCTGGAGACCCAGTGCTCGTTCGCAAGAACTCTAAAGAAACAACGCAACAAGAGGGTAAATAAGACATTTTTCAAGTAAGAGAGAGCAATCTTACTGAGAACAACAACTGGAGCATGCATCTTTTTCTTCTTGTACTTCTTCTTGCTAGGTACTGCAATGGGACGGAGTAAATAGAAATGACTCAGAATGCCACACAAACGAAAAAGAAATAAAAAAACCCTAACTGGGTAAACGAAATCAAAGTAAAAGTAAGTCACAAGCACCTCAGAGCTCACGATTTGTTCCTTCGAACTTGAAACCCGGTGCTTCCGTTTTTACTGTCAATATGAGCAGCAAATGTAGGGCGGTATCTGGGCAGAAGCGGCGGTGGGGAGGTCTAAGCTATGGAGATCGAGAACCTTCTCGTGCCGAAATAGATCTTTCGCGCCTCTTTCCTCCTCTCTGGGATTCCCTTTGCCAACTTCTCTCCGAGAAAAACCCTATGAGAATGAAATGAAACCCTTGTTCTCTGTGTGTTTGTTTAATACCACCGCTAGACCTGCATTTTGCACTTTAAGGGGTCTCACCAACAATGTTGTATTTGTTAAATGAATGCATTGTCCACAATACAACGTTTGGAAGTGTCAAGTTGTAAAAGAATGTATGTATTGTTTTGTGTGGGTCCCACCAACAATCAACAAAAATGAGGAATTGTAGAATCTCAACTAAAAGTTGAGATTGCTGTGATTGTTGGTTTAATAATTGAGCACCTTTACTTTTTCCAATTATGTACATAATTCTTGTTGTTTTATATTAAAAGTGGAGGACAAAAATGACATTTTCTTATAAAGTAACTTTATAACAATCAATTCTTAAATTATAATCTCAACAACCAAACAATGTAATTTCAAAATGCATCTATTGTATCAATGCATGCATTTATATCACAGTGATTCATAACAATACAACGATTTAACATACGCAACTTCCAAGCGACCCCTAATTATTTGCGTACCAATTTTTCAAAATTCCACATAGGCACTAATGGGGACGTTGGGTGGGTTTGAATTGAGTTCAATAGTGTTACGGGTCAATCGGGTTGCGAGTCAATTAGCTTGTGAGTCACAAGTGAAGCGGATTGCGGGTCAAGCGAGTCACGAGTCAAGTGGGATGCGGGTCACAAGTGAAGCGGATTGCGAGTCAAGCAGGTTAATCGGGTTATGGGCCAAGCGGGTTACGGGTTGATCGGGATGCGGGTTATTCGGGTCAATTTATATTGAATTGTACAAACAATTTCTAAACTTTAAGATAATTGATATATCGCGATATCAAGCTTTACATTTTATAAAATCGATTGCCGTCAATACTAACTACCCAACTCTAAGACAAGTATACCCTAGATCGACGAAGTAGTATAGTGACACGCCAAAACACAACACCAAACTGCGACCAAGTGTAATCACAGTCCGGGAATGCAGTAACAGGCAAGTTTAATTATCAACCCGGGGTCTAGATCTACTGCTTACTCCGTGATTCTCTATTATCTAGCAAACTAGTTCGAGTGATTGTTGTGAAAAGTAAAAGCAACAAGAAAGCAGTAAATTGTTCGGGTTTCTAAAGCAGGCAAGAGTCACTCGGGATTGAGTCCCCCTAGCCCCTTAGTTAAGTTCAATTGCAATTCCCTGGGTTGATTTACTGTTGATTAGAATGCGGAAGATCCGATAGTAGCTTGGAATCTCTTAAGCTGACCAAGCCCTCTCAGTCTAACTACCCGGCAGACGACTAGTCTTCACCGGGATAGAAAGCTGAGGCTATGAACACAGAACTCCACTACTGGCGCCAAGAACACCAGTACAAAGCAGTAAACTGGCTAACTCTCGTATAGCCAATCTCCTACTATCGAATGAAGAGGCTCTAACAACCTAATCAGATTCTATCTATCTCAGGTTGCAGCAGAAATTGAGAAAAGCTTATCAGACTCAAATCAATTCATTAAACATGCGTCATTCGATTAAAATCAAACAGTAATATCATCCCAAGTCATTACAATCAAATCCCTAACACAAGGAACTAGGGTTCTTCATACCCAAGTGAGAGAAGGGTTCTACTCCATAGAGAGAGAAGAGAAAACAAGAATCGGATTAGTCATACTCATAACGATGAGGATAATCTGCTCTGGGACGATGATTTCCACTCCTATGACGATCTCCGAACTCAATTTGATGAAATCCAACTCTAAGACAGCTTCTAGGGTGTGTTCTTCGCACTTTCTCTCTCTAGGGCTCTGTTTTTGCTCTGAAAACACGATTCTCCCACTTCTGGCTCGGAATAGGCTCTAAAACCAGGCTTTCCCGACTCGCACGGCTAGGGTGCACGGCCGTGCACATCACCATTCTGGCCATGCACTCCAAAACGCAGCGTTTCATTTAGTCGGCCTTCAACCATCTTGCACGGCCAGGTGCACGGCCGTGCAGATCTTCAGGGGTGCCCGTGCACGTCCTCGGCACAAGGTGCACGGCCATATCGCTCCCGTGCACGGCCGTGCAGCCTCCCTGGTCTGCCCGTGCGGCTCCCAAAAACCTCGCCATTCGTCCGTTCGTCGTCCAATCGACCCCAGACTCGCTCCTAAGCCTTCATTCACGTACTAGGACCTGAAATATCTCAAACAAGCACAACCTAGCGTGAAATCGGCCTAAAACACGAGAATCAACACCTCAAACGGTGTAAGAATGGGGGTAAAAACATGTGTAAATGACGGTCTATCAAACTCCCCCACACTTAACCGTTTGCTTGTCCCCAAGCAAACCGAGTCAGACACTAGGTAAGCTTACATATTTCAATCAACCAACATTGGGGACAAGTCATAAAGGCACAGAACACGTGAATCGCACTGGTTTTCAAACATCAATACATGCACAACCTCAATAACAACCTGGACAACCACCACAAAGGACATTCGAGTGCAGCAAATCGAGTAAAGGAAGAGTCTCCCGTCTGTTCACTGGCCAACCTAGACTTGATTCAACCACTTACTCAAAACAGTCAACTCATGCATCCAACTCAAGACATCAGAATAGAGACCGAGCAATCTAGGTCCTCACCGGGGTACAAGAGCATATAGAAAATGAAAATGAATCACTCACTCTCGACCAGTGGGGTCAGGACAATTTGATGCGAAAGATGCGCATGCTATTTCTCTCAATCCCTATCATCTCTTCACCATGATGGCAGCCTCTAAATGCTAGAGTTCACATATGGGGTGTCACCACTAACTAATCAGGAGGTCTTAGACACAGGTTCAAATGACTGGCTAGGGTCTTGGACATGGGGAAAAGGCCTTTTAGGTGGTGGAAGTATTCATAGCAAAAGGTTCCACATTTCCAAACACACATCACAGTCAAACAACCGGTATTTTCTTTCTGCTATTCTGCATTACTCAATATCTTAAGAGCACAAGAGCGAAGGAGGCATAAACATCAGCATTTCCAAGCCAGACTGCTAAGAAACACTACTTACTGGGCATTATTCAGATTTTTGGTAGTGGCTCTCTTTTGCTTTCAATTTTTTCTTTGTTTTTCTTCATTTTTCTTTTCATTTCTTAAGAGAGCCACCACTTCTGCATATTTCAAACACCTGCCCAACTTTTAAGCACTACCTCCAACACTCACATAGACTTTAGCAGAAACAGCAGAGAATATATAAAAACCACTCTGTGGAACCTTCTAAAAGATGCAACAAGGGTGATTTTTTCATTATAGACCAAAAGAAAGGATAACACACGGCTCAAAGGGGCTGACTAGGGGATATGACACATCAGGACAGTCAGTTTTGGGCGTGGGCTAATCCTATGCCCCCATCATCTTAGCTAGTGACAACGTGAATGCTACACATCATGGAAGAGGGATCTATCGCACAAGAAAGAAACGAGCAGGCTCAAATCTCACATGGCTACCTATATGCTCTATCTCACATTCTGATACCCTGAACTAGATGCATAAACGACTGTCAAGAACAAGTAATCAGATCAAGTCACAGTTGGCAAGCAAACAGTTGAAAAACTGAACCCCTACATCGTTCTACTGCACATCTCAGTCCTCATCATAGGTTGTCCTAGTCGCAAACAAGTTGTCATGCATTAATCCGAAAACCAATCAATTCATCCATCAAAACACAGTGCCAATATGATCAAACAGCAGTACTTGGAGCCCTCAAATCGTAAGATTCGGACAGCGGACTAGGCTCCAAGCACCATCATAAATATTCCAACCGATACAAAGCACCCCCCACACTTAAGCACGACATTGCCCTCAATGGAGTAGAGGGAAAGATAAGGGGAACGATGTTACCGGATAAGAACACTGCTGGGGGACTGGAAGTGGACCAGTCAGCGGGGCTAGCATCAGCAAAACACACTGGGTGATAGAAACCATAGTTCCAAGTGGACAAACCGACAAAAACAACGAAAGAAAAACAAACCTTGGTGGGGTTGCCTCCCCACAAGCGCTTCTTTTACGTCTTAGCTAGACGGTGGCTCCTAAGTTTCGGTCCACCCCAAAACCTCCTTGAAGTTGAGGTTCTCGTCGATGTGTGGAGTCTCAAGTCACAAGCAAGTGAAGTGATAGGTGATGAAGACGGCTCGTGACCTTGAGGAAGATGAAGTCTCCACTCACGAGACCTCTCCTTCGCATCTGCTCTTGTCTCATTGCCCCAAACCAGATAAGAAATATTCGATTGACCACCATCGTATCCACCAAGAGGGATTGATGTTGATGTGGTCTTAGTTGGGCAAAGAGACACGCAAATGGGTCCTTGCCAAGCAGCTCCTCGAAGTTGGTGGAGATATCAAGTGTAACATAGGCTCGGTGCAAGCCTCTTCCACCTCAACTTCATCCTCAGCCTGGACGCCAATTGCCTCCACAACCCCCCTACCTTCTTCAAAATGTGGTCTCTCCCCTTGGAAAAGATCAAGAACTACCTCTTCTTTACTTCTTCCTCATCCTCCACAACTTCCTTCCTCATCCTTGCTCGCTCTTCTTCTTCCAGAACAGATTGGAGAGCAAGTCGCCAAGCAATTTCTTCAAGGGATCATCTTGCCTCTCCTCGCACAGGCCCAGCATGCTAGAGCATAAATGAGGAACGGTGGATCTGCCACCAGAGGACTTTCCTGATCATGATCATCATGGGAGTTCTCTGTGATAATTCTGTAGGCTCCTCAACGCCCCCGCCCTTGTCATCCTCCGCCTCTCTAGCGTAGTAGCAGAAAGGTGATCTTGAGCAGGATGTGAGCAAATTTGCTTCACCCACTCTGTTTGCTTCGCTGAGCACTGAACAGTCTGCTCCATGTCATGGAGCAATGAGGGATCGGAAGAGTCAAGGGCTTGGATTTGAAGATCCATCTTGGAGCATGCTCTCTCAGTGTCTCGAGTAAACTGCTCCACGAGAAGCCTTAATTGTTTGTTCGGATCTTCCAGTGAAGTGTAGCATGGCTCTGCTGGTTGTGGCAGGAACTCTTCTTGAAAAGGATATTGTTCTTGAGGTTCCC